AATGTTAGAAGCAATATAAAGAAGAAGGAGATTTAGGAAAACTTATCTTCAATTTGGCTGGTGACGTCGAATCATTGTAGAACAAGCAAAATCACTTCGCAAGACCCTCGTCACTGCGAACCACCGCCGCCTACCCATTACGGTAATCTTGTTCTATCAATTTGTTGGATCTTTGAATTTTATTGTTGTTTACAGGTTGCAAATTCAAGATAAAGGAAAGGGAAAGAAGCGAAAGATCGAGAGTGAGAAGAAGAGGTTGAGGAAGAAGAGACGAAGAGAAGAGAAGGAGGGGCAGTTGTATTTGGAATTATGGTTTCGGACCCCTCTTTCCTTTCTTTCTCAATTTTGTGGTTGGTGGGTCGGGTCTGGTGGGTTGACCACCACCGGCCCATTGTTTCTTGTTTTTTTATTTATTTTTGGTTTTTTGTACAATTCGGTTGGGCCTAGTTTTTTTGTTTTTTTAAAATAAGGAATCATAAATATAATAAAAATAATAAAAACATAAAATAATAAATAATAATAAAAATAAATTAATATAATAAAAATAAATTAGAAAATAATAAAATAAAATTTTAAGAATTTAAAAAAAAAATTAATTTAGAACTTTTAAGAATTTAGTAATATTTTTATAAATTAGATTATTTTTAGTTTTTAGTTTTTAATTCATAGTTTCATTATTTTTCATAATCATAACTTTAGAAAATAATATAAAAAATTCAAATAAAAACAAATTAAAGATATTTAGATGTTCTTGTTATTAGAGAATCTAGCTCTTACCCATTATCCTAGCCTTAGGATTTGAGTCGCCGTACTCACGCATAGCGTCCTGCCATGGACACTCTTTTACAATTCGATTCTAGCCTTAGGACCAAGAGTCGCTGTACTCTATGTAAGTTCTCGCCATGGATACTTACTTACCATCTTTTTCAAACAATCATGAACGTATATTTGGAGTCGCTGCACTCCATGTAAGTGTCTCGCTATGAACATTTACTTTCCCCTGGAACCTTGACCACAGTCAAGAAGTTCCTCATTCCTCTTTAAGGGGAACTACAAACGCTCTGATTTCTGATGAGAATACATAGGCATAAGATGCGACATCTTGGCGAGCTCACTCACAGTTAACCTCTTGTTACCATTTGCAACTTAGGATTGGAGTCGTCGTGCTCCAAGTAGTATCCTGCCGTGAGCATCTTCTTTCGTACCCTTCATCATAGCCTTAGTATCAGGAGTCACCGTACTCCATGTAAGTTCCCTTCGTGGATACTTGTCTACCTTTTCAACTCAACCTTTCAATGTAGATTTGGAGTCGATGCACTCCGCGTAAGTATTTCATTATGAATATTTACTTTCCCTTGGAACCTTGACCACAGTCAAGAAGTTCCTATCCTCTTTGAGGGGAACTACGAACGCTCTGATTTCTCAATGAGAATACGTTGGCACAATATGTGAGGTCTCGGCAAGCTCACTAACAACTAACTTCCTGTTAACATTTGCAATTTAGGATTAGAGTCGTTGTACTCCTTATTTAGTTCCCTCCGTGGACACCCTTCACATTCATCCTAGCCTTAGGATCAGGAGTTTCCGTATTCCGTGTAAGTTCCCGACGTGGATACTTGCTTACCTACCTTACAAATTTTTAACTTAGACTCGGAGTCACCACACTCCACGTAAGTGTCTCGCTATGAACACTTACTTCCCCCTGGAACCTTGACCACAGTCATGAAGTTCCTCACTCCTTTTTGAGGGGTACTACGAATACTCTAATTCCATTCCCGTTAGGATACGTAGGCACAACATGCAATTTCTTGGCGAGTATACTTAGGACTAACCCCTTAGATCCCTCTCTTTATCTTCAACCCTTTAGTAGATAACAGATAGAATAATAACGCATATCAAACAAGAGGTTCCTGTAGAGTACTACAAATACTTAAGATGCTAGCACCTTCCCTAGGTATAATCAACCCCCGAACCCTAGATCTCCCCGCGTTATGTTTATGATGCAAATTAGGTTTTTCTTTCTTTAACCTTTCCTTCAGATAAATTAAAGACCGGTTGTGAATTCAAGATTTGTGATTCAAATTAATCAATAATTTGACATCTTATTCTCACCGCAACAATATCAAAGATAAGCTTCTTTTTCCTTAATTTGATCAGGATTTGTTGTCCCCTCACAACTGGGTTCGAATATGATATTAGATCATAAATTGAAAAGGCCACCTCCCTAGCATTAGGCCCACACAACAAAGGAATAATTGGGCCTAAGGCCTCACCCTCATATAAATCCATCGTCTGGCCCACAAAGCCTTTGGGGTCCATCACCACCAATGTTGATTTACCGCCACAAGCTGGATTAGACATGCATCTGAGCTTTTCATCAATGCCTCGATCCTCTAAATCACTATGTAACAACAATTTTTTGGAACGACCAACATGTTTTACACATGTAGCCGCAATATCAGATAACGTCCTTCTGCTATTTTCCAAAATATCCTTTTCCCTAACACCTATTTGTCTTCCCTCAGACTCGGGAACCGCATCTTTAGAGGACGTATCATGGCCTTCCCTAGAAAAATAGTTTTTTATTCCCCCTTCCTCTTCCTCCTCTGAGCTTTTCCATTCGTCACTATCACTATCAGAGCTTTCAATCTCCAACGACCTGCTCACTTTAATCGAATTCACCTCGCCAAGCCTTAATGGCCCATGTCCATCTTCTAACAGTATAATTCTGTAAATGTTTCCACTTACTTCAATATTGAAAATTTCGCCAAGCCTTAGTGGCCCATGTCCATCTTTTAACAATTTAATTATGTAAATGTTTCCACTTACTTCAATATTGAAAATTTCATCCAGGTTAATCGCAAACTTGGTTTTAACGAGGAATCTTGCAACAATATATTCACCAATTCTTCCAAACTTGGCATTCAAAGTAATATATTCACCAATTCTTCCAGCAATAAGCATAAAGAACTTTGAGTACCAAACATGGCAGGGAAGCCCATAACATCGTATCCAGGTGAGTCTCTCATTGTCCACGTCTTTTGGAACCCACAGAAAAATGTTAGAGAACCACCGGGATACCCACGTCTTCTTCTTGACCAAGGTTGCTAACTCTCTAGATAACTCTTCTTCTAGCAAGCATACATTAGCCCCCAACGGAGTAGCTTTAATATGAAAGGTACCTTCCTCATGAAGCGCCTGTTGTATCTTATATGTCGACCCTGATATTTCCACAACTCTGAGGAAAGCCTTTTTGAATCTAGTAAGTTCAGACTTCTCCATGTTGAATTGCAAGTGTGCAAATAGAGGTTTTTCACCCAGCCTGTCTCTAGTGTTCCTTACAATACGTCTTTTCACTTCTTGCATGTTGGCTTGTCCAACTCCCAAGACCTGAGCGTAGGAAAGTTTTGTCTTGCCATGATATACCATCTTTGCACCAACTTGTATAGTGAAATCAGTAGCCCACCTATTATTCTTCTGTTTCAACTCATTTTTTGCTCCCGCCTCCTTGCCAAGACTTCCCCTCTGCAGTTTGAATATATTCCCATAAGTCTTGCACCCTCTAATCATAATGATGTCTAGCTTGATCGTCAATAGTCGAACGTCTTCAACATTCTTGAATCTCACGAAACCATACCGTTTGCCACATTTATCTCCTTTCGGTGGGATGAGCACCTCAAAAACAAGACCATATTGTCCTTTGTTTCATAGCTTAATATTGAATGCTTTTTCCATTTAAATTATGCTACATGTCATCATCCATTTTATTTTTTACCTTCAGAAGTAGTTTTACTACTCTTAATTGAATAATAATTTTTAGTTAACAATCAAAATACATTAATTAATATAAATTTATGTTAAAAATCAAAATACTTTAATTAATATAAGTTTATATAACACTTTTTAATGGGGCAGAACGTCTTAAATTTATAACACAAATTTTAATTAATTTTATTTTTATTTATTATTGAAGCAATAAATAATATTTATTTAATTTTGGACTGTAATTAAGTAGTCATTTTTTAATTTTCTTCTTCCTTATCTGTTTTAATTTCATTTTGATTGGATTGATCAAGTATTGGAATTAATAGTACTATTTGACAATGAAAAATGGAAGTTTGTAAAAACTGTAAATGACTAATATAATAATTTTTAATTAACAATCAAAATACATTAATTAATATAAATTTAGGTTAAAAATCAAAATACTTTAATTAATATAAGTTTATATAACACTTTTTAATGGGGCAGAACGTCTTAAATTTATAACACAAATTTTAATTAATTTTATGTTTATTTATTATTGAAGCAATAAATAATATTTATTTAATTTTGGACTGTAATTAAGTAGTCACTTTTTAATTTTCTTCTTCCTTGTTTGTTTCAATTTCATTTTGATTGGATTGATCAAGTATTGGAATTAATAGTACTCTTTGACAATGAAAAATGGAAGTTTGTAAAAGCTGTAAATGACTAATATAATAATTTTTAGAATATAGCTAACTATGTTGACTGAAATATTATTAATTTTTTTGTTTTATTAAATAATATTTTGCATGTTTCTTTATTTGTTTCAATTTCATTTTAATTGAATTGATCAATTATTGGAATTAATAGTACTATTCGACAATGAAAAATGAAAGTTTCTAGAAACCGTAAAAGACTAATATAACTAATATGTCGATTGAAATATTCTTTGTTTTTGTTTTATTAAATTATATTTTGTATGTTTCTTTATATGTTTCAATATGATTTTAATTTGATTTATCAACTATTGGAATTAATAGTAGTATTTGATAATGAAAATTATAAATTTCTAAAAAGTGTAATTAAAAATTAGAAATGAATTACTACAAGTAATTGCATATTCCTTGCATGTTAACATCAAACACTAGAAAAAAAAATGTTGAAACAAGAAAATTGTTCCCCTATAAAAGAGTGAAGCATAGATTTGCAATATGCATCTCTAATCACTTCATTCTCTCTTTACAATGCTCACTATGACTTCATTACTAAAAATTGTTTTAATTTACTCGATATTGAATATTGTTTTATCTGATGGCTTACCACCTTCCATTCAACTTTCACAATCACCATCACCAAATCCTTTCCACATAGACCATGAAGTATTAAAACCATATTCTCCATATCAAGATTTAGGTAAGAGTAGGAAAAGATCTCCTCCTCCTCCTCCATCACCACCACCTCCTCCACCTTCCTTTGACCATTTTATGCTAGCTCAAACATGGCCCCCAACATTCTGCATTCTGAATGCTAATTGTATCTCTCCATTGCCACAAAAATTCACCATTCATGGCATGTGGCCTGGTAAAAGAGGCGTTGTGATACGAGATTGCAAAGAAGAAAACACACCTAACCTGAACGATGTAAGTTTTACTTTATTTGATTCTATCTTATTATTTTTATTTATTTTACCATATTATACAAACAATAACTTTATTTTGTGTATATTTTTAACAGCTTCATTTAATAAAGAAGAATCTTGATATTGATTGGCCATCTTTAGTTAAAGATGTTTCTATAGTATTTGCCAATGGTGCTTTATGGCTTAAAGAGTGGAAACACCACGAAACTTACTCAATTCAGATGTTTGAATTTTCCGCTTACTTCGAAGAAACATTAAAAGTTTACCATAGAAATAATATAAAAGAAATTCTTGAAAAGGATGGTATTAAACAGGGTGGAAATTATCCAAAACAAAAAATTCTCAACGCAATACAAACAGAGATTAAATTCATGCCACAAATTCGATGTGAGCAGATTAAGAATTTAGATTATTTATCAGAAATACGACTTTGTTTAACAGCAACGCCAGAACTAGAATATAAAAATTGTGATACACCTTATAGTGGTTGTCACAATAATGATATCTACTTCTAATATAGTGCTTTGGAGTAAAGACAGGCAAAGGTTCATTGAGTTAATCCTTGGTTGATTTAGTTTCTTATTATATAATTTTCTCTACTTTTTATTTTGTTGGGTGTTGTTGTGGTTTTAAAGACCTTAATGATTATTGTTTTGTCTCTATGGTCTTGTATGTACTCTTTATATTTCTCTTACACACTGTGTTTGAAGAAATTGATATGAATAAATATTGAAGGTTTCTAAAATATATATATATTGTTTATATTTTATTTCATGCTTAATTTTATGAGATCATTGTAATTTTATCAATGTATTAAATCTATATCCATGTAGAAATTTAAGGATCCTTGTGTCTAGGTGCAGTATATGAATAAATTAAGATAAGTATCAGAATAAAAATTTAAAAAAATATTAACGAGAACCAACTCTGGAATATGGAAGAAAATCTTAAGAAATTTTTTTGTAAAAATTAAACCAGTAAATAAAGCTAAATGAATTTGACATAAACCTAAGTACGGTTGCGAACACCGTTTTCATATATCTCTGAATATTGCCCAAAGAATGATCTTCTTAACAATCCAGTATTTAAGAAACTTGTTTGAGATATATTATTTGATTTCATCTTCATCATCGTTAATGAGCTCGTTTTTTATTAGATCTAATTTGAGGTTCATTGTCCTTGACTATGTCTTTCATGATGATTTTTGAAAAATCAATACTAAAAGAAATACATTTTACCGGCTCTTGGAATTCAGTTTTATGAAAAACTATATTCACTTATCATAATTCATTCTAATTACTCTAAAACACGATTGTTATGCCTTACACACAATTTTGTTCTAGAGTTCGCATACATGAGAAGTAGTGGGTTATACAATATTTATCAAAAAAACTTCAAATTGATGATTAAAACATTTACCTCCACGATCACTTCTTAAAGTTGTTATTTTCAAATTGAATTCGTTTTCGACAAGTTTGACAAATCTAACAAAAATTTTAAAAATTTATTCCTTATGAGTTAAGAATAAAGTTCAAGTAAATATAATGAAGGCGTCTGTTGGAGATTGTGCTTGTTTAAAATATGTAGCAGCACTTGAACAAAGAAGGTGTTGTTAAAGATTACACTTAAAAACTCAAAGCGTGTGAATTTCAGACAAACCTTTAGGTTTAATTCTCCCCTACCAATTATTATATTTTGGATTCAATAAGGATTAACGATGAATTCTCTTTAGGATACATTGAACTTTGATATGAATTTCACAAACACATTAAGCTTATTTTATAATAGTAGTTTATAAAAAATTGTTTCCTATACTTTACTCATGCATTAATGAAGTAAGAGATGATTTTAGAATAATTGAAATGGTAAAAAATAGATGTGAATATTTCTATTTTCGTGTGTATTTTCTGATTTTCAAGTGCCTCTATTTATAAAAAAAAAATTAAGTCATTTGATGACGAGCATTACCATTTGAGGAATAATTTATGCATCTGTATAAGAAATTTATTGGATCAGTTGGTAAAGTTGCTTCAGATATTTTGGAATATATATATATATATATATATATATATATATATATATATATATATATATATATATATATATATATATATATATATATATATATATATATATATATATATATATATATATATATATATATATATATATATATATATATATATATATATATATATATATATATATATATATATATATATATATATATATATATATATATATATATATATATATATATATATATATATATATATATATATATATATATATATATATATATATATATATATATATATATGCTTGCACAATATTTTGAAAATCATCTAAAATCCCCCACCATTTACAAAATATAACTAAATCTCATATTTCTGGAAAGCTCGTGATTTCAGATAATGGAATCTTACGATTTGAACCATTACTTAGTAAATTAAGTTTTCACTCATCCTAAATAGATTGATAGACAAGTTTTGAACTAATTATTCATTAGAAGAAGTGTGCATAACCCACACATAAAAACACATGAATTCCTAAGGAGGTTATTTTTTGAAAAAATTAATTCCGTTATTTTTCTAACTTTTTTCTTTTCAAATATTAATATTTTTGTACATATTTTGCTTGTTAATAGAATTTAGATGGATTTTATTTAAAAAATTAGTTTAGAACTAATTAAGATATAGTAGTTTAAAATACATTTTTATTAGGAATTTAATTAGAATATATTTATATATTTTTTAAATTAGGTTTAGAAATTAATTTTGGATAGATATTAGAATTTTCATTAGTTTTAGGATTATTTAATTTTATACTAGAAGTATTTATTAGTTAGGATTAGTTTAAAATAGGTTTTTAGTTTACACTAATTATAGTTTTCATTAATTTAGATTAATTTATTTGTTAGTTCCAATTAGTTATTTTTAATTTAGGTTAGTTAGAGTATCAGAATATTATTTCAGGTTTTATTAATTACATTAGATTAGCTTAGATTAATTAAATAATTAAAGTAGAGTTAGTTTTTATATTGCTTTTAGATTAGGATATCGTTTAAATTTAATTAATTATTTTTCTTTAATGTCAACATTAGCATGTTAGTAGCATTATAATCAGCATTTTAATTAGTTAATCAAGCCCTGAGGGAGCCACGTGTCAACATTCCTATATAAAGTGCACTATTCATCATCACCTTCTAGGGGACAACCCTAATTCCAAAAGACCAGCCGCACACCCAATACTGTTCATCACCATCTCTGTTTTCCTCCAAACATCTCTCACCATTCAACAGAGAAACGCAAAACACCAGCTCCATCATTAATCTATCAATCCCCTTCTTCTTCATCAATCACCAACAAACTCTTCTTCTCACCTCATGCCAAAAAACTAAAACCTTCAGCAACAACACCTTAATCCATAAACCTCAGAAACCCTAGCCGCTTGAAGAAAATTCGTCCTTCGCACTTCCAAAACCTATCTTCATTATTCTCAGAACCCTCTCTACCTCCATAACCAGCAACAATCCCAATCGTTTTTCAAAACCCTAGAAGCTCGTTTTCTTCTTCACCAAATCAGCAACCCATCCTCCATTCAAAAACCTTCAATCTTCTACATAGCAACCCTCTGCCATTAAACCCTCACCAAACATTCCTCCAAACCACCTACCAGAAATCTCCATGAACGATCTTCAACAAAAAAATTTCCCAAACACTTCTCAAACCCTCCGTGAACCACCCTCATCATCGAATCACAATCTCCTCACTCACATTCTCGATTCACTATCAACTTCAACCTTCAAACAACCAACACAAACTCTCTGAATCTCATTTTCGAACCGTAACCCATTTTCTCCAACTTCTGCAAATCCCTTCAAAACGCAAATAAATCTTCACAACCATCCCTTCAACTCATCTTCCAAACATCAACTTTCAAAACCCCAAAACAAAAAACCCATTCTTCCATCTCCAAACGGAAGCTAGAACGCAAATGAAACATTATGAGCTGAAAAATCAGTGAAAACGAGAAAACGAGAGGAGATTGGAAGAGGAGTGCGTAAGCAGACGGCGAGAGATTGGAAGTGGACAAGATTGCTTAACGTTGCTTTGTTTTTATTTTGAAGGAGACAAAAATCTGGGTTGTGTGTGTCGTTTCGTTGGTGAAGCAGATGGCATTGTGGATTATTGTGGTTGTATTTTTTCGTTTTACTTGATGTCATCCTTTAGGATGAGTTTGGGTGATGGGCCTTTGATTGGCCCATATGATCCCATGGTTTTTCTTTAACACCCCATAAGCCAGATGCACCCCCACTGTTTTATTTTTTAATTTTTTAATATTGGTACATTTTTGTTTATTATTTAGTATATTATATAAAACAGATTTTCATCATGTAAAATATATTATATAGTTTTTTTCTTTTAGATTTCTTATATTTTCTTTTTAGAGTTAAATTTTATTTCTCATTTGTTATTTGACATTTTGTTCCATTTTTGCCTTTTAGGTCGATGAAGAGACTTTTGTCGTTTATCCGTCAAATTGTTGATGTGAAACGATAGATCCGAGACCGACTTTCTCTCTTTTTCTCATTTTCGACTTTATTTCGATTTTATTCCACTTCTATCTTTTTGGTCGATGACGAGGCTTCCGTAAGTCGTTATTAGTCAAATTATCGATGGATAATGTTGGATCTGATACTACCTCTTTTCTCTCCTCATTTCTTATTCTTTCGATTTTATTTTGACTTTGCATTATCGATGAAGTCTTGTATCCGTAAGCGTCGGATATATCAGAGTTGATAATCTTCCCGATTTCAAATCTATGGAAGAAGACCATTTGGGTCATTTTCCTTACTTTGGGATCGCAATAGGCTACCTTCGATTAATCGATATTTTGTTTGCGATTATGACGAGATCCCATTATTTTTGATTCGTGCGACACGATTAAATCGGAGAACAATCCTCAATATCATTTCTCTATCTTGTCCATAGCACGGATATCAATAACGCGGCCTCCTATAGTTTGACTTCCCTTATAAGTCGAGCTATGACTATTTAGCGTCACATTGGTCCCGATTCGATTCGCTAATGCTGTTAAACCATCTTAATAAGAGGAATCGACTTCTCTTTGTATTGAACTAAAAAGAGAGGATTGAGTGTAGACTTCTTCCTCTCCGAGAGTCAGGATACTCACTGTAGAGTGTGTGGTCTCGATACTCGTCTTTCAATACGAAGACGCTTGTATTCATTTCGCCTTTTCTCCTAAAACCTCGATCCCATACCGAGTGCCTTTTCAAAACACCTTTTAATAACATAATGAAATTCTCTTTGTATTGAATTAAAGATAGAGGATTGAGTGTAGACTTCTTCCTCTCCGAGTGTCAGGATACTCACTGTAGTGTGTGTGGTCTCGATACTCGTCTTTTAATATGAAGATGTGCTTCTTTTCGCAAACTTTTTTTTAAAACTTTTTCTCCTTAAACCTCGGTCCCGTACCGAGTGCATTTTCAAAT